TAAAGGGTACAGTTGTTCTGATGAAGAAGAACTTCTTGGATTTAACTGATGCTAAGGATGCTGTTGTTGACCAAATTGATGAGATTCTTGGACATAAGGTCTCTCTGCAGCTCATCAGTGCTGTTAACACTGACGCCGGTATGATATACTTATCATCATTTTTTAAGTCATATACACTGGCAGTATAGAGAATTTTTAACTATTGGCGTGTTTTAACTGGTTGTAACATGTAAGCCTTATTTTCAAGATACTAATCCCAATTTTAGATGACATGAGAAATTGCAACTGTTTTTTTGTTTAGCTAATAAGGGCAGAGGAAAGCTTGGAAAGCCAGCAAATTTGGAAGGTTGGAAGATTTCAACTTTAACAGAAAGAGAAGCTACATTCAGTGTCAACTTTGAATGGAATGAGGAGATTGGAATCCCAGGGGCTTTCTTGATCAAGAACTCTCACCACAATGAATTCTATCTAAAAACTTTGACATTGGATGATGTACCAGGCCATGGAAAAGTTAAATTTGTCTGCAATTCTTGGATCTACCACTCTGAGTACTATAAAAAAGATCGCGTTTTCTTTGCCAATCAGGTAAGACTAAAGTTAGATATTCTCAGTTGAGTTTCGAAAGGGACTTATACCAGTATTTAACAACATTGTGTAAAGCTTTATAGGATCTTCTTGGAAGTCAGAAAATCATGGACTAATTGTGTAGCAAATGATTCAACTTAGTTTCTGATAATAGTCATAATATCAGAACTTCAATGTAAATTATTTTACTTCTCTGCTAAGTAAAAACCTTTGATTTCTTGTTGTAGACTTACCTTCCAAATGAAACACCAGCACCCTTACAGTATTATAGAGAAGAGGAACTGGAAAATCTGAGAGGAAATGGAACTGGAAAGCGTGAGGAATGGGATAGGGTCTACGACTATGATGTCTATAATGATTTAGGTGATCCTGAGAAGGGTGAAACATACGTTCGCAAGATTCTTGGAGGATCATCTGATTACCCTTATCCGCGTAGAGGAAGAACAGGCCGGCCACCTACAAAAATTGGTTAGAAGATCTTGAAGTTCAATCATCTGTTCAATTTTTATCATTGTAACAGCATGAATTTTTCAATTAAAGCACATTCATTACAAGAAGGGTGTTGTCTTTTATCCTTTTTTACAGATCCTAAAAGCGAAAGCCGGCTTCCATTAAGGAAAACTTTGGATATTTATGTGCCTAGAGATGAGAGGTTCAGCCCACTAAAGATGTCTGATTTTGCAGCAACTGGACTGAAATCAATATTTCAGTTCCTTGTCCCGGGGTTTTTAGCTCTTTTTAATAAAACACCTTTTGAATTTGATTCATTTGAAGATATGTGGAAACTCTATGAAGGTGGAATCAGGTTGCCTAGTAAATCTTTCGTGGACAAAATACGAGACCACCTTCCATTGGAGCTGCTTAAAGAACTGCTACGATCTGATGGTGATTACGCTTTTAAGTTTCCAATGCCACAAGTAATCAGAGGTAAGGGCTAAAACAGAAGCACTTTTTTGTTTGTTTTCTAAAGAATCTAAATAAGCATAGGGCGATGTGCATGTGTTATAGATATTACACTTTATTGAACTGGTACTAGACTTAGTTCATTGAAAAACTCTTCTCTTTGAAATGTTTGGAGGGCAGAGGATAAATCTGCATGGGGGACTGATGAAGAATTTGCAAGAGAAATGCTGGCTGGACTAAACCCTGTCGTTATCCGCTGTCTCCAAGTACACTCGAGATTTTCTTTTCTAAGTCATCCCTTGATAGTTAACAGAACATTCTTTACACATAAAAATCACTGGTTGTGGTTGACCTGTTAATTTTCTGCTGACAGGAATTTCCTCCAACAAGCAAGCTAGATCCAACACTATCTGGTGAGCAGAGGAGCACCATTTCTGAGGAACATGTAAAGCACAATCTAGATGGATTGACCATAGAAAAGGTAGGTATTGAAAGTTTTTCTTAGACCAGTTTTCTTCAGATATGTCGATTGTAATTGCTTGAACAAGGAAACATACGATGTAGGCGATCAAGGACAAGAGACTGTTCATTTTGGATCACCATGACAGCCTAATGCCATACTTGAAACGCATAAACACAACAACCACACAGACGTATGCCTCAAGAACATTGCTTTTCTTGAAAGAAGATGGATCCTTGACACCACTTGCTATTGAGTTGACTCGAGAGAATGAACAGTCGAGAATTGTCAGCAATGTATATACACCGGCAGAAACTGGTGCTGAAGCAACCATTTGGCAGCTCGCAAAAGCTTATGTCACAGTGAATGATTCTGGGTTTCACCAGCTTGTTTCTCATTGGTAAACTTTGTTACCATATAGTCCTCATCATTATGCAATGCCTGAGTGTGTAATGTGTTAATTCATCAACAATTCACTCCTCGTTTTCACTGAAGGTTGCACACTCATGCCGTAACTGAGCCATTTATCATAGCAACAAACAGACAATTAAGTGTTCTTCATCCAATTTATAAGCTTCTGCACCCTCACTTCCGCGACACAATGTACATAAATGCATTGGCCCGTCAAATGCTCATCAATGCTGATGGAATTCTTGAAATGACTGTTTTTCCGGGTAAGTTTTCTCTGGAAATGTCAGCTACCATATACAAGGACTGGGTTTTCCCTCAGCAAGCTTTGCCTGCCGATCTCATCAAGAGGTACATCACATTCCTAAGTTCCAAAGATCAAAAGAATAATCATTTACTTAAATTTCTAACTGACTCAAACTTCTTTTGCTTTGTTTATGTCAGAGGAATGGCTGTGGAGGACTCAAGCCAACCACATGGCATCAAGCTAGTTATAGAGGACTACCCATATGCAGTGGATGGACTCGAGATTTGGTCTGCAATCAAAACATGGGTGAGAGACTACTGCAACTTCTATTACAAAACTGATGAAATGGTCAAGATAGACACAGAACTACAGTGTTGGTGGAAAGAAGCACGGGAGAAGGGGCACGGAGACAAAAAGGAACAACCATGGTGGCCTAAGATGCAGACTCGCGAAGAACTCATAGATTGTTGCACAATCATAATATGGATAGCTTCAGCACTTCATGCAGCAATAAATTTCGGGCAATATCCTTACGGAGGATACCCTCCAAACCGCCCCTCAATGAGCAGGAGGTTCATGCCTGAGCCTGAAACTTCAGAGTATGAAGAGCTTAAGTCCAACCCTGAAAAGGCTTTCTTGAAGACAATCACTCCTCTGCCACAAAGCATACTTGGCATTTCGTTGATAGAAGCATTGTCATTGCATACATCTGATGAAGTCTTCCTTGGCAAAAGAGCTCCTGAATGGACCACAGATGAAGAACCATTACAAGCATTTGAAAGATTTGGGAAGAAGCTAGAAGAAATTGAACAAAAGATCATTAAAATGAACGATGATCCGAACTTGAAGAACAGAGTTGGACCTGCCAATATTCCCTACACTTTGCTATGTCCTAGTAGTGAGCTTGGACTTACTGGGCGCGGAATTCCCAACAGTGTTTCAATATAATTCTTATCAGCTAGAGAGCGACTAAGATAGATTCAGTTGTATTCGTTGCTTCCGCACAAAGAACTATGTAGACATATAGTAAGATTACATTACACCTAATAACTCTAAAACATGGATTCACCTTTGCTTTCTGCCATATAAGAAGCTTTTTCCAGTCACTTTGTGTTAGTATTCACTAAGTACTGGGAAAAGGCATGTGCAGCCTAAGTTTGCAATCGATGTCACACCCGTGTTGGATTCTCTGAAAATATACTACTTTTGACGATCCAACATGCACCCTTCACATTTTGAAGAGTCTGATCAACATAGTGTGCAACAAACATGAATATGATGTTTTTGTATCAATACTACATCCGTCCCATATGGATTCATCTTACTAAAAAATAAGTGTCTCATATTAATTGTCTACGTTACCAAATCAAGAACTTATTTATTCATCCTATATACTGTTGCAATTAATTATTTTTTTAAAGTATTCATATTTGTTTATGTTTTTTAGGGAAATATTAGTAAAATTATGTTATTAGTTATAATTTTTTAATATGCATGTGTAAAAAGAAAAAGATCAATTAACATGGGACGAAAGAAATGGTATTTAAAACCTGTTTTCTCCATAAAACCTTTCCGGCCAATAAGTGGTTGAAATTTTAGGATTTGTGATGACAATGATCGTCAAAATCCAAGTGGTTCCAATAGTGTAATAGTTAATTTTTTATTTTTGTGTATGGTGATTGATTGGACGAATAAAATTTCTTTACTTCGAGATGAAAATTAGAACTACAAATTTGGGATAATATACTATTTTTCCTATGTTTCATCATTTACTGTTGTTGTTTACATTTAAAAGGAGAAATAGCCAAATAGGTAGAAATACTATGTTGTTTTCTTATTTTGATTTAAATCCTAGTAAACATCCAATTTTACCCATTTGCTTCGGTTCAATTTATTTTTCATAAGAAATACTACGTTAGCAGGCACATGGACATAGATTTGCCACACTAAAAAAAAGTTTTTAAAGTCGAAATTAAAAAATAATGAATAAAATTAAAGTCATATCTGAATATAAATTTAACATCTCGAAAAATTTAGACATAGAATTGAATTGAAATTTGAAAAGAAAAGTTATTGAAATTGAAAAACGATATTCAATCAATTTATAGAATTTAAAACTTATTATATAAAACTAACCAAAAATTCATTTCCATATAGTATAAACAAATTACTACGTTTTAAAAATATTTTTATTAAAAAAGAATTTCCATGTTCAATCGCTACCCTAGGATATTTTAAAAACTTTTTAGTGCATCCATTTTATTTTTTATTAATTCTTTTCTTTTCACTCTCTTTATATATAAAATATAGTTGGGCCCGGATCTACCCGACCCAAATCTTGTAAAACAAGTTTCCAAGTTGAAAAAAAGTTTCAACGCCTCTTAATATAAAACCGTGAAAGCGGCGCCAAACGGAACTGGTACCGATTCCAAAAGCAGATGAATCAGAAACACCAAATTGAAGAAGAAAATGGCGGATTCTCAGACCGATTCGAAATTCTTCAGTGTTCGAATTGTTTCAATTGACTATTACATGACCGCTCCACTTCCTGGTTTTGACATTTGTTACAGCAGTTTCCAAGGTTCTTGAATTTCACTACTCCGCTCGCTAGAATCGGGAGCACTTGTTTGCGATTCTTAATTTTTCTTTATATGAACAGGTGGGAGAGTTAATGAAGTCCCGGTGATCAGAGTGTACGGCGCCACTCCTGGTGGCCAGAAGACATGCTTGCACCTTCATGGAGTAAGCCCGAATTTTATATCCTCGACTTTCTTGTATTTCTTGTTCTAAACATCTAACGAGCGGAGAGACTGTATTTAGGGTTTGATATATAAGTACACTTTAGATGTGCAAGATTGTGCCAACTGTAATTAGAAAATAGGGTAAAGGGTAACCAATAGATCAGTTTTCTGTATAGGGAGAAAACATATGATATAGTTACGAAGAAAGAATGATATCGACATAAAATAATTTCTGATAGGGAGAAAGCATATGATGGGGTGCCCAAGAAAGAAGGGTATCTGCATAAAAAAAAGAACTTCTGATAGCTTCTGATAGCTAGGGAGAAAGTATATGATATGGTGCCCAAGAAAGAAGGGTATCTGCATAAAAAAAAAAAGAACTTCTGATAGCTAGGGAGAAGTATATGATATGGTGCCCAAGAAAAAAGGTTGGTAGGTGATTAGTAAGAAATAATTTTGTACCTGGTATGTAAGTTCCATGAATGATGCTTTTATCTATCAAAAAAAGTAAATAAATTCCACAATGGATATGTTCAAAAGACTGATCCCAATGGCAAGAACAGCGAGAGGTTGAACCTGTACTTGTTTACCCTAGTTATAGATTATTTAACCAATATAATACATGATGGGATTCCGTAATGCATGCTAATTGTATGAGAAAGTTCTATTTTGTTTTTTTAAATTTTAAGAAGTCAATATTTTATCTCACATATTCAATTTCTCTTAAACCCTACTTAAATTCAAACTAAAGGCATTCTATGAAAAATGAAGTTATATCATTTTATTTTTTTGAACCTTTTCCACTTGCACAAAGAACAGTTTTGCTCTTCGACTGTACTCTTTTACTGTACACACCACAGAATACTGGTTTTATTATTGTAATTTAACATTTTGAATATGGTGGAACATATGAATAGTGAGACCTGGGATTGCTTTACATGTCTATCTGTACTGTGCTGGCCCCTTTTTTGCTGTTATTGTTATTTCCCAGATTGTAAGAGAAGACGGTTTGGTGCATTTGTTTATGAATTCGTTTGGAAATATGTCTGTTTAGTTTCTATGTCAGTAGTTTTTCCAAATAAGTTGTTCAATAAAGAAGGGTTTGAAGTTCTTTTCATTGAAACACCTCTTACACGAAAAAACACTCATGAATCTTTAAATAAAGTACCAACTATTGAAACACACTTTTCTCATAGTATTTTTTTTCCAAAAGTCGCCCAAATGCGCTGACAGTATAATAAAGATAGTCGTTTTTTTTTAAAAATTGTTTAGTGTTTTGACTTAGTATAAAGGGGATATATACTATCTGAAAATTGTCTCCTCGCCTTACCAATTGGGACTTGAGAGTCAATGGTGTATTTGGAGTTGCTAAAAGTATAGGAGTTGTGTAAACATATGATATTTCATAGTGATTGGAATCTAGTGCTACATCGTAACATGAATGATACTTTAGTAACTTCCTCAAATGTTTTAATGTTGATCAAGATATGTTTAACAATATAAAAGAGGAGATTTATCTTTCCAACAAGATGCTTTAATTCTTTGAGTAGGGTTGCAAGGAAGATCATATAATAAGGAGGGTGAATCTGCTGTTGGCACTTCTTTTTTTTTTTTAAAAAAAAAATTGCATGCTTAAAGGATAAAAATCCCAGTCTGTTAAATTTTTCTCTCTTTTTTCCTGTTCAACCTTGGCATGAAACACTCTTTGACACCGTTATCACAAAAAATGGTGGGCATCGTAATTGAAGAAGTTGACATGATTATACAGAATATTTGCTCGTGACTCCCTGGCTGACCTAACATGCATCATGTTGCAGGCCCTGCCTTACTTCTATGTTCCATGCTCGGAGCTCTTCCTCCAATCTGATGAAAAAGGTATATGCACCTTTTAATTTCTCTCTTTGTGGGGGGCCATTGTGTGTAGAGTAAGAGGAAGTTGAAGTGGTGTGTGTTTTGATCCAAAACTAATTACTTATAAGTGGTCAAACTTTTTATTGGCACCTTTAATTATAGTTAATCCGAAGGGATCTATTTCAATTGGAAAAATACGTACGAGCTTTTTGAATGCCTTGAGTTGTGTACTTTGATTGCTTTTACCTAAGGTTCTTATTATACGAAACCGTGGCGTGCATTAGTAGTTCAAGTTGTATGCAGAACATAATAAGAACAAGTTAACTCAAAACTGGGCGGGCATAATAAATTTTAGAAGCTTGTTAGATAATTTGTTTTCTACTGAAGTTGATATTTCACACTGTTTCCTCTATATAATTATCTGGATTCAAATCTTTTAGGGAGCGAATGCACGAATGCTCTAGCTCTTGCTCTTGAGAAGGTGCTCAAGGTAAGTCTGATCTGAGTGGAGTATCCTTTATTCATCTGATTTTACAGGTGACACTTTTCTGCAAATTGCTGATTGAAATTATGCATGGACTTGTCTTAAAATTTCTTTCAGCTTAAAGGCAATGCTGGTTCCAAACGTCAACATGTCCATGGCTGCAGCCTTGTACGAGCAAGGAAGTTTTATGGTTATCATTCTTCAGAGGAACTGTTTTTGAAGATCTATCTGTATCCTACATTGCCTAATGTTGGTGCTTTTTGCTGCGAATTAATGTAATTAGGTAGTAAAGAGGCATAGTAAATTCAAAAATAGACACGGTCAGATGGTCCCTGCCTCTTTATTTCTCAAGCCTTGAGGTTTGTTAATAACTGCCTGGCCCAAATAGTCATTCTGCCCTCTTTGGAATAAAGCTTCTTATTCTTTTAGGATATTGAGGATAGAATTATTTGTAGTTTTCTTATACTCTCTCATCCCATTTTAATGTACTGGACTGGTCTTCGCTAAATTTTAAGTGTAACATGCTGGAGTAATTATTGTATTGAGTCTGGTGAAGAAGGAGAGTTTGAGTGTGAAATATTTATGAGTTGGTTGAGGATATGGAACTCCAAATCTGAAGTAATATAAAGTAGTATTACTTCATATTAGTTTGAAATATTGGAGGCAGAAAAGACTTCCGTTGTAGGAAAGAGGTCATATTATGAGATTATGGGTGGCAAAAACCCACCCAACCCGTTTAAGTTTTGGCGGGTTGTTGACCCACTTATTCATTACCTCAACCCATTATAAATTGGTTGATATGTAACCCAAATTGGCTAATGAGAGATCTTGTCAAAATATTTTTTAAAAACTTTTTTTTTCAATTTGATATGTTATATGGTTCTTGTTGTTGCAATGGTCATATTTCACAGTTATTACCAAAAAAAATATAGACAAAGTTACGAATTTCCAAAAAAAAAATTGGGTTAGGTTGGGTATGATCTTGACCCGTTATATAACCCATTGCCTAACCCGTTTTGACCCAAGCAATTTTGGGTTGTGGTGGGTCTTGACCCGATTGTTGTCGATCCACCCAAATTTGACCCAACTCGCTCAATTGCCACCCCTATCTGAGATGCGACTATGGAAAAAGCAGGGTAAATCAAATAAGATTATTATATTTACTTGAGAAACTATTTGGTGTTTGTGCTCATATCTCTTATTATTTTGAGTTTTGCCTAGAAGTTCCTTGACAGAAATATAAGCTATCATCCACAAGACGTTTCACGTGCTGCCAATCTTCTTCTGGTACGTGTAACAAGTTTTTATCAATCTAGGTATTTTGGTCAAACATAACAGAGGAAGCAGTTGTTTGCTTTAAAAAATTTCCTAACATCATGCTGTTGTGAATTGTGATTGTACTACTTTGAAATCTAGGCAAGATATATGCAACTCCATGAAAGTATTTAAGATGCTGATTAGGTATATGCTATAAAATTTTGAGATAGTTGAACTGCATTGTAACTGAACTTGGTGAATGAATAGCCTCCACGATATATCTTTAAATCAAATTATCAAACTAATTTTAGCTATTGCATGTTTTATTTACTGTTAACTAGAGTTCGCCTCTTCTTCTTATTTTATTTTTTTGCACACTGTAGTGCTTGGACTACACATGAGCCATTCCTTGGTAAATAAGAATGTGATATATCTGCTATCTTAGTGTTGCAACTGGCAAAGAAGCACTCCTTGACACTGAAATTTCTTTCACTGCCTTTGATATCTTAGGAATTGAAGGATGGACCATCATTTTGTTTTTCCTGTTATCATTACAATTTTGTGTTCCTTCTATACAGGGAGGCGCAGTACTGGATAAGTCATTACAGCCCCACGAATCTCATATTCCTTTCCTTCTTCAATTTCTGGTAACCACTTTTTAATTCATGGATAGTGAACTCTTGTATTACATACTAAAGTGATAAGGGGTTAAAAGTTCTGCAGGGACAGGGGGATGTTGTATCTCAAGCATATATATAAGTTTAGAAGTACTTAAAAGGCAAATAGATATGTTATAATTTTTTTAATTTGGGAATACATTTATACGTACCAATATTAGCAGCACGTATATCTAGTGATGATTATCTCTGCATTTAAGCAATTGCCTTTTTATTTGTCCCTCCTTCGTGAATATTATAAGCTTTATTCCCTTATAGTAATTCTTTTGTCCTGGTAAATGGAGAGGTCCATGTTTCAGATAGATATGTTTAGAAGTACTTAAAAGGCAAATAGATATGTTATAATTTTTTTAATTTGGGAATACATTTATACGTACCAATATTAGCAGCACGTATATCTAGTGATGATTATCTCTGCATTTAAGCAATTGCCTTTTTATTTGTCCCTCCTTCGTGAATATTACAAGCTTTATTCCCTTATAGTAATTCTTTTGTCCTGGTAAATGGAGAGGTCCATGTTTCAGATCTCAAACCGAAGGGGCATGTTTCCCTGTTATTTTTGTTTCTATTCTCAACCACTGATTCTTAAGTTCAGAAATATAGAGTGATTACTCAAAACTAAGAAAGAGAACTATAAATTATTGTTAATTTCAAATAAATTAAGTTACTCAAAGTTAAGAAAGCAATTCTGTGTTTGTTAATTCTCTGAGAACTTTTTTGCCGGCTTCTATATGGACAATTCTGTATAGTTGATCCCTTGATATGTCTTCTGATTGAACCTTATTGAGAAGTGATTAGTATGCTTGGTTGTTTTTGTATGGTTTATGATTTCTTATTAACAAAACTCGAATAAAATAATTTTGTTGTTCTCTCTCTTTCTTTTCTCAATTGCTTTATTTCTGTTAGATTTCGTGGTTAACTTAAAATTTTGATAAAATATATGCTGCTGTTTACTTTTCTCGCATATCATGACAGTGTACTTTTTTTATTTTTTTTCCCGGGTAGACTCTCCTAGTTAATAACTGGTGATGTTGGACATGCGCTTAAGGTGAAGATATGATATCTTAGTTTCCAAATTTCTTCTTAGTATCATATACCATCTTCACAAGTGCATTATAAATGCTACCTTAGTTTCTAATAACATTTGAGATCCTTGCTTAATTCTCTCTGGCTGACTTATAAAATGTTCTTTTACCCTTCATGCATAAAACTTTCAGGTTGACTATAATTTGTATGGGATGGGCCATCTACATGTATCTAAGATGAAGTTCCGCAATCCAACTCCAGATACTTTCTCCCCAAGGAAAGCCAACTGCGTTGACAGAAGAAGGCCTTCTGATATGTCCACTTCCACTACTGCAGAGTTTCAGGTAAAAGGGCTTTCACACTATAATAGATATATTTGCTGTTAGTTTAATATGTGCTATTTATGGTATATAATATTGGTTACATCTCTTAGGTTGATTTAGATGGTGAGTCTTGTTTCAATATGCCAATTTGGATATCTTCTACAATTCCGGACAATTGGATCTGGAAATTATCTAGTCAGGCTGATCCTTCAACAGACCCAGATATTCCTAACATTAAGCGACAAAGTATCTCTGAACTTGAAGGAGATGCTAGTGTTGATGGTTGGTTGGTTTTTATGACTTGACAGACAACTTGTATGTGCTTACACTTCGATTAAATTTCTTAATTCGGTGTATGCTTATGCAGCAATTATGAATCAGCAGTTGATATCCTATATGTCGCTTTCACAAACCTGTTCCCAAGAGAAAATGGTTCAGTCACTAATACCGATTTGGGAGGTTTGTTAATAACCAAGTTTATTTCAGGCCCATTCATTTTTTCTAATCACTTTGGTTTATTTTATATGTTCTTTCTTGTATCAGGAGGAATTTGCGAGGAATGGGGTGCATGAAGTGGGCTTGCCTCCTGATCCTGGTAAACCACTTCGAGATGATGTCTTGAGAACACTTTCACATTGGATTGGATATGAAGAGATCCTAATGGGATTAAGCAATGATGTGAAGGTTTCTTCTGATATGCTGCAGTCAGTCAACTTATCAATGAATGATGGGAACATTGCCAATATTGGACATTGTGGCTCTTTAAATAGTATACGAGAACCGTCCAGATGCCCAGAAGAAGGATTATTTCAAGGTCATGTTTTGGAAAAAAGGGTGGGAACTGATGCATGTCCCAAACAATTGTTAGCTGATCAATTGGAAGCAACTGTTTCCATGGTAGCCTCACAAGATGTGAAGGTAAATTAGGCCCCTGGTTGTTGACTTGGTCACTCTGTGCAACATTGCTGTTGTTTCAGGTGCTGTTACTTTGTTTACTAGGGCTCATGCCTTGCTTGGATGTGATCTCTGGTTGGACATCCTGAGCATTGTTGCTTTCTATTGTTTGCTTTACATTTCTTTAATCTTCCTAGTATTCAATCCTTAATTTTCCAGAATCCATTTCCGATTCATATTGTTTGCAATGTAGGCTTCAGATCAGGACGCTTTAAGACTTCTAAACTGGCTTGCATCTTCTCAAGCTGCAGAGGACATAAACTCTGATGATGACCTTGCTCGGGAAACCATTTTGAGCCCTTTAATGCCAGCAACAACTATTGATACGGCGTTGGAGAAGGCAAATGTAGCCTATGAGAATGAATCTCAGCAAGAGTGTGAGGACATTCTTGATTCTGTTCACGATTGTTATTTTGAAGAATTAGACAGAAAGACTTCTCAGTCCATCAACAACGATCATTCATGCAGAAGTTCAACGAGTACGATGATTCCTCAGCTGGATGGCTCCAATGATGATCCAAGCCCCATTTCTTTTGTTAATGAGTCATCTGAAACACCAAAAAGAACTAGGACATCTTCCCAAGCAGATTCTTGGAATAAGGCTACTTTAGCTACTAGCAATAAACACAAAAAGGAAAAAACAGGATATTGCTCTTTACCAATTGCTTTGGGTCAGAATTTGAATGATTCACATCTCACACCTAGCATTCACATTTGTGACGAAAGAGATGGCAGAGGAACTTTTTCTCACATGAATTTTAACAAATACCCTAATTTTCTAACGAGAAGTTCGAAAGAATCTGCTAATTGTGAAGTGGAATCTGGTATGATAGTTGAATGCTCTACACGTGATTTGATGAGGCTCAAAAGATCTTATCAGGCTGAGCCTTCTGAATATGGAAATCAGGTAAAAAAGGTACAACTTGGTGCAAAAGGAAAAGAGGATTCTTCTTTTAATTCAGAATCCATTCATGATGAGAAAGAGAAAATGCCTCATGATTTCTTGATATCTCGATCAGCGATCACGGATCAGCCTAGAGAATGTCATGAAAGGAACCCTCTTGCACTTCAGTTGCAGGTTGAGCCTGGTGACATCAAAGCTGACAAATCAAATAGTCCTCCTCATGATAAGTTGCCACTTCTATGTAGCTCTATGCAGGAAAATGCATCAACATCACAAGGGACTAAAGATCTATCCCAGCTTCCTGATGTTGAGAATAAAAGATCTGCCGTTTACATGGGAGGCTGTGGATGCTGTAGTTGCGAAAATATTGACAGCTGTGTGATATGTACAAAAATTTCAGATCCTGATCTTTGTACTTCTATAGTTGCTCCATGTTCTCGGTTCACATCTGAAACTGAAGAAAAATTTCCTGGTTGTGGGAAATTGCTGCAAACGAATGTTATAGGTTTAAGTCAATCTTCTGCTTCTCCTAGTTGTTCAATATCTACAGTAGTCGGTGTATCTGCTGATGATCTGGAACTTAAAGGCATGACCTTCATCAAGAAACCTCCTAAAGTGGAGTTCACAGATGAACCTAGACGCAATGCTCAGTCTGCATGTGGTACTCCTAGTTACCATGTCAACAAGAAAAATAAAATAAGGACATGTGATCAGGATAGAGGTTTAGATGAATGTCCCCCTTTCTTTGAGGGGAATTGCCTTGTTAAAGAAAAGATTTCCAGTGCAAATTGTGGAACAAGCAACTATGTTCCTTGTCAAGACAATTTGTTGGGTGTACCTGTTCATTATCAAAATGATGGATCTTATTTATACATGTTGACTCCTGTATATTCACCACCACGAAGTGAAAGTGTTCGTCGATGGCTGTCACTTGATTATGTAGTTTCTTCTAAAATGGATGTGGTTTCAGCCCCACCAGTGTACCCATCAACAAAGGTTTGCTCTGATCATATAGCAGAATCACAGGATTCTCAATCCACTTTTTGTGATCAACCTTTGATGTATTCTGGTTCCGAACCAAATCCAAATCAGCTTCAAGCTAACAAAAAATGTCAGGAAAAGAATGGCGTACAAATGAATCCTGTTGTCCCTGATGCAAGAATAAAACAAGATGAAGAAATTATTTTGAAATGTGAACCATCAATGCGTGGATCTCAAGATCTCTCCCAGATATCTGGTCCTGATAGAAAATCAAGGCTAACTCCGTTAAGTCAAACTGGCTTTCGAGACCCGGCTAGTATTGGTTGTGGACAGCAGTTAACAATATTAAGCTTAGAGGTCCAAGCAGAATCAAGGGGTGATCTGAGACCTGATCCTCGGTTTGATGCCGTAAGAATTATTGTTCTTGTTTTTCAGGAAGATGATGATTTTGGATCTGATACTCATGTACTTTTGCATTGCAATGGTGAATCAGTTCAAAGAAACCTTGATGGAGTATCTGAATGTAAAGTTTTAACTTTCATTGAAGAGAGGCAAGTGTTTTTTCATATCATAAAGATGATTAATTCTTTTGACCCAGACATATTTATGGGCTGGGATATTCAAGGTGGTTCCCTTGGTTTTCTTGCTGAACGGGCTGCATACCTTGGCATTGGTTTGCTTAACAAAATATCTCGCACTCCATCTGAGGGCAATATAGCTTCTAGAGACTCTGAAGGAGGAAAACTAAGTGATATTTTATCTGAAGCTGTTGCTGCTGACCCAATGTTTCATGAAGATGCTGCTATAATAGATGATGAATGGGGCCGAACTCACGCCAGTGGCGTCCATGTAGGGGGTAGAATTGTCCTTAACATTTGGCGACTGATGCGTGGTGAAGTGAAGCTGAATTTGTACACACTTGAGGCCGTGGCTGAAGCAGTGCTGAGACGTAAATTTCCATATATTCCTAACAAGGTATTGACAAATTGGTTTTCAAGCGGTCCTGAACGTGCAAGATACAGATGTATAGAATACTTTTTAGAGAGGACAAAGCTGAACCTTCAAATCATGAATCAACTTGATGTGGTAAATCGAACATCAGAGCTTGCACGGATTTTCGGCATCGACTTCTTTTCAGTTCTTTCTCGGGGTTCACAGTACCGTGTTGAATCAATGTTTCTGAGGTTGGCTCACGCACAGAATTATGTTGCCATTTCTCCTGGAAACCAACAAGTTGCCTCTCAACCTGCCATGGAATGTATACCCCTTGTCATGGAACCAAAATCTGGATTTTATGCTGACCCCGTTGTCGTTTTAGATTTTCAGTCACTTTATCCATCAATGATAATTGCATATAACCTCTGTTTCTGTACTTGCCTTGGTAAAGTTACTTCTACGAATGCTAATATCCTCGGGGTTAGTTCATATTCACCTGATACAAATGTGATGCATAATTTAAAGGACGAAATATTGCTCACTCCAAATGGTGTTATGTATATGCCTCCCAGGGTCCAGAAGGGGGTATTACCTCGCTTGTTGGAAGAAATTTTGGATACTAGGATTATGGTTAAAACAGCAATGAAGAAATTGGCTCCTGGACAGCAAGTTCTTCACCGGATATTCAATGCTAGGCAACTTGCTTTGAAGCTCATAGCAAATGTGACCTATGGGTATACAGCAGCTGGATTTAGTGGGCGCATGCCCTGTGCTGAGCTCGCTGACAGTATTGTCCAGTGTGCCCGTAGAACATTGGAAAGTGCTATTTCATTTGTTAACACAAATCACAGGTGGAATGCTAAAGTTATTTATGGTGATACGGACAGGTATTAGTTTATGCTGACTATCTAATTGAAATGCTTGCCAGGTTTTTTTAATCTCAACAAGCAGTAATCAATATTTAATGCTTGCACAGTTGCATTGATCTTGAAATGCCACATGGTTTTGAGTTACATATGAAATAGCTAGGAGATGTAATGTAATGGAAAATAATTAGTTTTATTGAAACATTTAATGATGATGAAATGCGTTTATTCATGCACATGCACTTGTTGGACTTGTTGATTCTTTTTTCTTCCAATCAGTATGGTATGAAGTCCAATAATTTATTTTCATGCTCCTCTTGTTTCTCTCCCTTTTCTGTGGTTTCCGACTTTGCACATTGTGTGTCTGACTGAGTTGGGGCATTGTTATCTGTCATATCTCACATTTTTATGATGGATAAGGAATGGTTGTGGCATTGGTGACTACACTAGGACTGCCAAATATTTTTAAAATGTCTGTGGGACATAATCAAGTTCTCAGTAGCATGTTTTGATTGCATCGTATGAGATATTTCTCATTTTAGCTACCATCTGATCTTTGTCTGTGAATCCTAGTGGAAATTGGTGGTTAGTCTTTGGCTATAAAGTAGTTTTTTAAGTGTCCATGTCAGTAGCATCTTTTGACTGGATCATATGAGATATTTCTGAGTTAAGAAACATTTATTTTGTCAGTAAATGCTTTGGGAGATGGAATCATGAGAGATGTTGACTAGAAGTTCAGAAACCAGCTTTGTTGATTCTTTGGTCAAATCAAAATGTAGTGTTTTTTATTGCAGTTTGAAGCATTTAGAGCTTTGTTAGTGTTAAGTTATGCCACGTAGCTTCACCTGTAATGAACCCAAATACTATCTCATTAGAAATTGAACAACTGTGGATTCATTCATCAGACTTGATGTGTCACCTTTGATAATTTAAAGTTCATTTCTCTCATCATTTAGAGCTCTGTTAGTGTTAAGTTATTTTATTTGTCTTTGTAGCATGTCTTTTCTCCTTAAAGGACACATGATAAATAAGCTTCCAACCATGCCACAAAGTTGCTCCTGTAATGAACCCAAATACTTTCTCTTTAGAAATGAAAAAACCATGGATTCATTCATCAGACTTGATATGTTGCCTTTGATAATTTAGAGTTCATTTCTCTCATTATTGTGTTGTTCTCATGTTTCAAGGTGATCCCTGCTTTTGTTTTCGCAGTATGTTTGTACTCCTCGAAGGACGGTCTGTTGAAGAAGCTTTTCGAATTGGTCATGAAATTGCATCAGAAGTAACTGCAATGAACCCAAATCCAGTCACGTTAAAGATGGAAAAGGTTTACCATTCATGCTTCCTCCTTACTAAGAAACGATATGTTGGTTATAGTTACGAGAACGTTGGCCAAAGCAAACCAGTGTTTGATGCTAAAGGTATTGAGACAGTACGAAGAGATACATGTGAGGCTGTGTCCAAGATAATGGAGCGCTCTTTAAGAGTCTTTTTTGAATATAGGGATATTGAGAAGGTAATTTTGATGTGTACCGACCTACGTCACTACCTTTAGTGTTATTAAAATTCTTTGAATATTTAAAATCGACAAACATAGATCATGCTTGACTATGTGGGCTCAATAGCGAGTTCTGACATGTCACGACATATTTGTCTGTGCATGATTGTACACAGTTTTCAGGCATTTTACAGACCAACTTCTTTGCACGAAGCCTATCTAAGCATGGATAATTTTCTGGCTGGTAAATTGCATTAACACAGGATTGATAGGCAAAATAACCAGTCTTGAGTTGATGTTAGGCAACAATACTGGTAGGCTAATGATTGGTTTCTATCTAATCTGGTTTAGAACCAGTGGCTATTCGACTTTAAGCAGTCTTTTTATTATGTGTATACACATGTATGTGGTCGCTGAATATTTATCTTCAGTTCCTATTAATCTGTCATCTTTTAGCCTTCTAGAGCATGAAGTATAACTTACATTGATTGCTAAGTCTTGAAAGAAATCCCTTTGGAAGCTATTTTATAGGAGTCCTCCAGGTGAAACATTGCTAACCTTCATGCACCTTTTCCAATTGGGGATGGGGATGGGGATGGGGATGATTCGTATTGCTGACCTAACTAGTTTGGATTGAGATGCAGTTGATATTTCTTATCTATTTGGTGACTGTGGTTTGTGAATCCTAAGTTCGGAATCTCGAGATCATCAATAAGAGGAAGCAGTACAGTAGCTCCAGCTAGTTCAATTTAAAGTAGTAAATTTACTAGATACTCATTTTCTGATTGGGTTGAAACAGTTATTGTCACTGCCATAAGGTTGATGTGTATGTTGATGGGAATTCCAAACTATGTAGTATCTATTATCAAAGTTCTTTTTATTTGTGCTTAGGTAAAATCTTACCTGGTGCGTCAGTGGAAAAAGATTATATCAGGCAGAGTATCTCTTCAGGATTTTGTGTTCGCAAAAGAGGTACGATTAGGCACCTATTCTGCACAGGCTTCTTCACTTCCACCAGCAGCAATTGTTGCCACTAAAGCAATGAGAGTTGACCCGAGGGCAGAACCTCGGTATGCAGAGCGAGTGCCTTATGTTGTGGTTCACGGTGAACCGGGTGCCAGGCTGGCTGATGTCGTGGTAGATCCCTTGGATGTTCTTTCAATTGATTCGCCTTACAGGTTAAATGACATATATTACATCAAGAAACAGATAATCCCAGCTCTGCAACGAGTATTTGGGCTCGTTCGAGCTGACTTGAATCAATGGTTTTCAGATATGCCTCGTCCAGGGCGGGAGGCTTCTGGTAAACGTCACCGATTTACTGCAAATGCACACAGAACTAGGATTGATTATTACTATCTGTCAAAACATTGTATCATATGTGGAGAACTGACCCAGGCATCTAGTTACGTCTGTCAGAACTGCTCCAGCAATGAAGCTATAGTTGCTGCTGCTTTAACAGGAAGAACTTCAGTATTGGAAAGAAACATCCAACACCTTGCTGCTGTGAGCACTTTTAACTCGTCAAGTTTTATTCTTTTATATTCTCTTTATAAAATTGATATTGATAGATGTTAACTTCAATCAGGGTTGATGATGATCCTTCTTCCCCCCTACCTGCTAATTGAGCTTCTCCTTTTTTCTCTTTAGAGCCATATAATGATCCACTTGACAGAACACAATTGGTCCTGAGAAATTTCTCCCTTGGCTACACATACGCTTTTGCTGCATCCTAGATTCTCCAATATCATTTTACACCTAATAGCATGTTATCTGTGATATGCATGCTTACGATTATTACTTCCTTTTAGATATGTCGGCACTGTGGAGGAGGAGATTGGCTCATAGAAAGTGGGGTGAAATGCACATCTCTCGCATGTTCTGTTTTCTACGAAAGGAGGAAAATCCAGAAAGAACTGCAATCTCTCTCTGGTGTTACTACAGAAGCAGGTTTTTATCCCAGGTGTGTAGTGGAATGGTTCTAACTAATGCCTCATCTGTGTGAAAGATGTAGACTGTTAAAAGGGTATTTAGATATTTAAGGAACAATGTCTATACATATGTTGTACAACATTCTATTGAGTCTATTGTAAATATGCATGTGCTCCCCTAGTAGATAGATCTTCCAATAGTCCTGTAAAATAAATTAGGCCTTGTATACTATCTGATTTTCATATTTAGTAATGGAAAGTGTAACCCAAATGTTGTAAAGAAATTGTTCTTGTGTGATGGTAAGTTGATTGTGAGGAAATAAATCATTCTATGATGGCGAATTGATATTCAAAAATCCCTTTCTACAGTAATATGAATCATATGATCGGATAAAATTTACTCAAAGCATGTACTATTTGCCACTGTATATACATTAGTATAAATAATGGTGTAAAAAAATTCCTGTATTATACGTCAAACTGTTGCAATTTACTATAATTGGTTGAAATGAATTGTCAATTCACATTCACATTCAATAGTAAAAAAGAAAAGAAAAAAACAATCTCTAGCTTCACATTCACATTTAAAGGAAAAAAATACTTATATTTTCTATACCAACTATCAACAAATAAAACATGGAAAATATTTAGTTATTTGGTATGAAGCAATCAATAGAAACAAAAGATTCTCTCTGTCTCCTAAATTTTCTTTTATTTAGACATTAAAATTAAGAGTCCATTTGGATTAACTTAAAAAAAAGTAGTTTTTAAGTAAAAAATAGAAAGTCAATTTGAATACGTTTGTTTTTGGACTTATTTTACACTATGTTTGGATCATTGTTATCTATTGTATTGGATTGTACCGTTACTATACCTACAATGTTTGTTTTGATTGTTACTTAAAACGTATTATACTGTATTGTTAAATTTCGTCTATTTTATGGAACAATCAATTTGGTGTGTTCCGATTGTTACTTAATTTTTTTTTCAATTATATCTTTACATCATATTTCAAAATACTATTTTACCCTTTACCTTAATTATTTAAACCTAGTCAAGTCTTCTACCCTAGAATAATTAAGGATAATCAAGTGAATTTATAAATTACAATATATAATCAAACCAAACAATTAAAATGTTACTAAACAACAACAATCAATATAATCTAGCTAAACAGTGTATCTACCATACAATACAGTACTATAGAGTACATACAATACAATACATTATGAAACAATGGGTAACAATGATCCAACAAAGTTATTTTTACCTTGTCAAACACTTCGTACATTATTTTAAGTCATTCTTGACTTATTTTTAGTTGTTTTTTTTTATATTTGTCAAATACTTTCAGAAGTCAAAAATTGACTTAAAAATAGGTTTGATCATTTTTAAGCCAATTCAAACGGACTCTATGTTTCATGAACTTGTAATATAGTAACATGTTTCAATTAGATTCTTTGAGTTTTTTTTTTATCCGAGTTTAATATTGATTTACAAGGTAATTGAATTAAAGACATAAAATATGTTATTTTCTTTAATTACACACATTTACCTTATTAAGTCATAAAATAAAATTCTAGATATTTTCTAGTTGAGATTGATGTTTATAATTAAAAAAGATAAACATATTTTATATATTTAATAAATAAAAGAAAAAATTCAGGTAAAAGTTTTTCAAATTTTTTAACACTTTATAAAAAATTAAGATATTTAATTAAAATAAAACCTAATTCAAACATCTAAATAAATATCTTTGACAAATTTAAGGTAATAACTAGGTATTTAGCCTTTATGTAAAGTAAACTAAAATTCGATTTAGTAAAGTGGGAAAACAAATATGAATGTTAAAATATTTCACATAAACTGATATTTGAATATTACAAGTTAATCAAAATTAAATCAATTTTCTATTCACTTGCAAGGGTTTAAGGTTTTCTCCCTCCAATGGCAGTGAGGGTTTAGCAGTTCTCCTTCTTCCTTTCTCCATCCTCTCAATCAACACAACCATGGTTCTTTCTCTTCTTCTCCTTAGACGCTTATCTTCCTGTAGAACAAAACCTTATCTTTTCACCCTTTCGCAAACGAAAACCTTCTCTTCTTTTTCACCTTCAGATAAGCCTTCTTCTTTATCAGCTCGCATGAGCTTCGTATTCGACCAAATCGATGCTATTGAGAAAGAGCGGTCAGAGAAGGACCAAACCCTTCAACGAATTCGGGCCTGGCGTGAATCCAAAAAGGGGAATCAAACCCAAAACCAAGCCCAGAACCAAGACCCGGTTGGGTCAAGTTCGGGTTTTTCTGATGTGGGGTCATCGGAAATGGAGTTGGAATCAAGAAAGAATGATGGGTTTGAAGGTAGTGGTGGATTGATGAGTAAGAAGGTGGAATTGATGCATCCGTGGCCTGAGTGGATCGAGTTAATGGAGCGTTTGGTTCAGCAGAATTACTTTGATCATAAGAGAAAAGATGAGGATAAAATGATTGAGAATTTGGGGTTCAGTTTAACTGGTGTCGCTGAAGATGAGGGTTTTGATTTTACCAGGGATTGGAAGACTGCTCAGACTGCTGTTCTCAATTTTGGCAAAGATCGTTTCGATATGTTAAGGTCTGTTTTTTTAACGAAGAACACCATTTTAACCGTTTATTGGTTTCATTTTTCTTTATAGGATTGAACTTTTAACCATCAGATGAATTTAATTGAGCCGCATTGTACTCATTGCTCAAGTATTTAGCTGGGCAATACTTGTCAAGCTTAGAAATGATGGTGTTCATTTTGTCCCCCTTAATTCACGTTTACTTTAGGTAGCTACTTTTGTAACTTAATTGACTCACTATTGAGGAGTTCTTGCTTTCTTCTTATATGACTCTACTGTAAGAAGTACTCCTAAGTTTTGATAGATGAATGAGATCCATAGTGCAAAAAATGAAATTAGGTAACAACCTGAGAGCCTAGTTAATTAACTTGTGCAGTTTCCACTGTTCCTTTTCTTTCTAATTTTTTATGATATATAGCGGGAGGGGGAAATGGTTGAGGGGATTACTAGATGGGGAACAGATTCTTTACATACTGGAGGTTGAGGCAGCCACCAAGTAACCCCACAGTGAGTTTTTACTGTTCTCTCAAAATCATTGCTGATAATTAGATTGTTTTGATTATTGAGTCGGAAGCCATCAATTTTTAGTTGATTAACCTCACCTTTTGTATCCCCGTCCTACGGTTTAACTTGGAAGGAATTGAGCTGTTTGTTAAAGGACACTTAGAGTGTGCCATGACATTCTAGTGACAGACAATAACTCTTAATGCATAGGGTGATCAATTCATTTCAGGTCATTGTCGAGACAGGATCTCCAAATTTTGGTTGGTTATGGATGCCCTAGTACAGACAAGAAGGTGGTTTTTTCTTCCAAGTTATTGAGGAAACACGTTCATCTGGACGAAGGGGATGTAAGTTTTGATTCTTTGTTGTAAATATGTATTTCTTGTCTTATTAGAAGTCCCATTATTGATTCTTTACGAAATGTGGTTTCTCATTCCCATTTCTTGTATTTACTTCTTGTTTTGGCTCAATTTATTATCTTGATGAATGTGAAGTCTTGACGAGATTTGCCATGTAATGGAGGAAGTTCACAGTTCTTGTCATTTCGTGCATTTTCTGAAAAGCATTGTCTATTTTAATCTTCTTGTTCTCAAAATGCATCAAGATCTCCTGTTAGTGACTTTGCTTTCAGAAAGGGATAAACTCTAAACTTAGCAGCACAAGATTTTGATATAGAATGTTAAAATTCTTTAGTTTTCGTGTTAACTTTATAATATAGGAATATTCTGTGTACAAGCAATATACCAAAAAGTAGAGAGCCTACATGAAAAATGGTTCCTTGAGAAATAGTACTCAATATGGAGAATAGGAACCTCATGGTGGTGCACCAAAATGAAACTAAAAACAAGAGGTTATATTATTCTCCAATGTGAAAAGTTACTTTCTGCTCCACCACATGCTCTTTATTAACTAAATAAAATTGTTCATTTTGTAGCAGACTATGCTTTTATATGAGGCAATTACTCCATTCAACAATGTATTAGCTTAAGATCTAAAGAAAAATCAAGCTCTTCACCTGATTCACATATAGAGATGGTTTCAGATTAGCTGAATTGCTGGTAATGTTTATCTTGGACTTGGAGTGCTTGAGATTGTATCTTTAAAGCATCCGAAGATAGCTGTCGTATTGGACATACTGTAACATCATGAACCAGTGTAAGAAGCTTTTAAAAGTCTAAAGTGAGGTGCACATTGTTCTTTTGTACGGTGAATATTCACTATGATGACTTCATGATTTGTTGAGTATACTATGATCTGGGCTTTCACTATCTGTATTATTCAATGACCAATCCAAGTTATTGCATGATTATATTTTGGTATATCTCTTGTATATGGCCAAGATGACCTTGTTATTATCAATGAAAACATTACTTGATAAGAAATAAATACATGATTGTATCAGGTTTGCAGTTCTTGCAATTTGAGGAGTTCTTGTGAAAGGGCATATTTACTTACCAATAAGGAGGATGAAGCAAGGACAATGGATGTCATGCGTGTCCTATTGACTTTTGGTTTTAATGCAATCAATGGATCAGTTGATAATGAGAGTCTTATGAAGAAGAAATCTGTAAAGACTGTTGTTCGCAAATTGCTTCACGAAATAGTGAAGTTGAGTGCTGTTCCAATAGATCCAAATCTTCCACCTCCAGTTTTTAAAAAACCACCTCCAAAGGTGAAGCAGCCACCTCCCCCTCCGAGGAAACGAGTCGGACGTGATGACATTGAGATGAAAAAAGGAGATTGGCTGTGTCCAAAGTAGGTTTCATATCTTTTCTTCTGCCCTAAGCTTCCGTCATCCTTCTTTGGGAATCAATAGGGTTTTCAATATAATGAAGTTATATTTCCTGATCCATCTTAAAACTTTATTTGGACCTTTTCTATGCTGTTCAAGTGCTATTGTTCAGAAGACAGTCCCAATTGATATCTGTAAGGCACTGTATGGCATGATGTGCTTCGACATCAACTTTTTTCCGTTGGATGGTCCTGAAAGGTCTGCTGTGACCGTTTAGTATGTCCAGCACAAGCAAAGCAGGGCTTCACCTCAAATAGGGCAGATTGCGTGGTGATGAATTGTCTTATCTTCATTATTAGTTCACCCTTGACTCTTATATCTGTTGATCTTGTATTTGGTTTTTATGATATGAACTTAAGAGTGTTAGCGAAATAAATTGAACAAAATTTGTCAAATTTAGAGTTGAAACATCATTAACAAGTTACATTGCCAGGTGTGACTTCATGAATTTTGCGAAGAATACCATATGCTTACAATGTGATGCCAACCGGCCGAAGAGACAGCTGCTTCCAGGAGAGTGGGAATGTTCCCAGTATGTGCTTTACTTGCCTTTTCTTATCAATCTTCTCTCTTCTGCTGACATGAGTATATTGTTGATTTCAGAGCAATATGTTGAATTAATCAGGAAATGGTGTTTATTTTTGCTAAATTTATTCAAGCACCACAATGATAGATGCCTAGGCTTAGGCTTGAATCTAGTAGGAGTTGCAGTTTAACAAGTTCATCTTGATGAGGAGGACTATTAAGAAGCAACTTTTCGGTCTTCTCTTCATAGTCGGGAAATGGAGTTTATTTTTGCTATATTTATTCAAGCACCACAACAATAGATGCCTAGGCTTGGGCTTGAATCTAATAGGAGTGGCAAGTTTAACAAGTTCATCTTGATGAGGACATTTCTTTTCTTCATTATCCAATCACTATTCTCTGTTGTGCCTGGAACAAGCTGCAAATTCTATTAATGATTGCATATATGCCCTATTAAACTTGTACACTCATTTACATGCTCGTCTAAGTTGGCAATTTCCATTTGTTGCAAAATGTTCAGAAAAACATTTGTTGAAAGGCTTTTCTCTTGAGGCTTTCACTTTCTGATATGTTTATTACATATTGATTTACCCTTTCTGTGACACTGACAAAAACAATTGTTTCCTTTTATGAATTGGCAGGTGTAATTTCTTGAATTATAGGAGAAATGTGGTATGTTTTCATTGTGAATGCAAGCGCCCAGTTGATGACTATATGGTTGCTCAACAGCAGGAGAGGCTACAAGGATCCAGGACACAGATGGATAAAATATCTCGCCGGCAAGATGTTTCTAATGCATGGAATTTTGATTTTGATGATGATGAGTCAGATGGTGCAGACATTGCTGCCTTCGAGACTGCAGATTCTCGGAAACTGGGTGAAGATTTTCCCCTGGATAGACAAGAACGAAGAGATACTTCCAGGAGCAATGAAGATGGTTTCCACAAGAGCAGCAGGCCTCCAAAAGGTTACGAAACTGAATACCCCGCACCTGGGAAACCAGGGGTAGGCTTTAATGACTTTGATGATGAAGAAGATGATGTCGACAGCTATGAGATAGACAGTAATGGAGCAAACAGAAGTTCTAAAATAGATTTCTCGGATATTGAGGTCAACTCCGAATCTGAAGATATTGATAGTGTTGATGACACTTTGCTTGTTGGTAGAAGGAACAGTTCCCCCGCAAGCGATGCACATTTTAGACAGAGACATCAGAAAGGGGCGTTTCGTGGTTCTGAGGATGCTGAAGTGGATTTTGACACAGATGATGAGCTTCCAATTAAAACTAATATGAGATCTAGTCAGGTTTCTTATTCTAAACCAAGATCTAGGAACAAAGGTGCCAAGAGTTTTGACTCTGATGACGATTATGGCCTCAGCTCCGACTCCGATGATAGGGATTTCAGAAGTCAGCAGAATAAAGGGAATAAATGGGGATCAAGAAAGGAATTTGGACGGAGAAGCAGCTCCTATAGTGAAGATGAGCCCTTCTCTGACTCAGAGAGCAACAAAGGTAGGTCATTTCACAAAAATAAGCAAAGAGGCGGTAAGGCTGGTCAAAATGGCAGATGGGACTCATCCGAAGTTGGTGGTGATGGGATAAGAGACAAACGATCCTCTTTTCGAGATAACATGAAAAGAAGTCCCAGAGACTTACGTGGAAGCAGCAGGAGAAGCCAAGATAATGGATATAATGATTATAGAAGCCGTGGACGTGAAGAATCTTATAAACAGCAACGAGGAAGAAATAGTAATTATGGTGATCAATCAGATAGTTACTTAGACGATGAAAGACATAGGAGGCCAAGAATAAATGTCCGATGAGTCTCAACATTCAGTTTATCATTTCAAGAGTTGGTTTACTTGCCGGAATAGCACTATGGGTCTCCTGAATGAGGAAATGGAAGGGTTATCAGAAGTCAGAAACAGCATTTCAACTTCTGAATAGCCATCATCACATCAGCTTCTTCCACCTAAGAGAGATGCACTACAAGGAGAAGTGTTTCAGTGACTGGGTACAAAGTTGATTGGCGAAAGCTTCATACAAATAAGCCAACTGGGAAGTAGTGATTATTCCCAGGCGATGACTTCCTTGTAGCAACCCTAAGCTTGACCTGCAAAGATGCAATATCTTCAATCTTCTTCCAAGTTTTTCATTTACTTCAGCTGATGATAAGATCTACATGTTGTAACTATAGACGTTTTTCTGTAAACAATAATTTGCTAATTATTGATATTGGTCCCGTTGTAGTATCCTACAGAATTACACTTCATTAATGCATTTCTTAGCTTATCTGGTTGCCTAAGTCAATACTGTAATCAAAAGGACATGGAAATGTTGAGGTTCTCAGTTAATTTGTATACTAAAATGTAAATAACCCCACATCATTCAGCTACTTCTACTGAGTGGGGAATTATTCTGTATATTTTCAGGTTGAACTGGAAGAGCAAATATTAGTAATTCATCCCAAACAGATTAAAATATTAAAAAGTTGCTGTAAGAATTTGGTTATTTTGAAGTATATAAGCCAAGAAAATAATACATCTCTCAAATATAAAGAAAATAAAAATCTTCCATTCTCTATGATTCATAATATATCTTCTTCCTTTCATAAATTTGTGCGGCTACTACGTTTACATCCCCACCATTGTCACTACTCGCCCCAAACAATCCTCACCGTCACCGCCGCCACTATCACCCATCTCTGCCGTACTATGGCAACAGCCGTTGACCCATCCAATACTCGTCTGGGATGGATCGGTACCGGAGTAATGGGCCGCTCTATGTGCGCCCACCTGATTAACGCCGGATACACCCTCACTGTCTTCACTCGGACTCCATCCAAGGCTCAGGAACTTATCTCCATGGGAGCCCACTGGGTTGACACTCCAAAGGCCGTCGCTTCTCAATCCGACGTCGTTTTCTCTATCGTTGGCTACCCTTCTGACGTTCGCCAGGTAATCCTCGACCCAAACTCCGGCGCTCTTTCCGGTCTGCGTCAAGGCGGCGTCATCATAGATATGACTACTTCCGAACCTTCCCTGGCTGTTGAAATTCACTCTGCAGCCTCTGCCGCTGGCTGCTCCGCCATTGACGCCCCTGTTTCTGGAGGAGATCGCGGAGCTCGGAATGCTGCTTTATCCATCTTCGCCGGTGGAGAGGAATCCATTGTCCAAAGGCTTAATCCATTATTTAACCTTCTTGGCAAAGTTTATTACATGGGTGCCCCCGGAAAAGGGCAGTTCACAAAATTGGGGAACCAAGTAGTGATTGCTTCCTCTATGGTGGGACTATGCGAGGGCTTAATTTACGCGCATAAAGCTGGTTTGGATTTGAATCATTTTGTGGATGCCATTTCAACAGGCGCAGCTGGCTCAAAATCATTAGACTTGTATGGAAGCAGAATACTTAACAGGGATTTGGAACCTGGATTTTATGTGAATCATTTTGTCAAAGATTTGGGGATATGTTTGAGGGAATGCCAGAACATGGGTCTCGCATTGCCTGGGCTGGCATTGGCTCAACAGCTCTATCTGTCGCTTAAAGCTCATGGTGAGGGTGATTTAGGAACCCAAGCTCTCATTCTAGCCCTTGAGAGGATTAACAATTTGTCCCTTCAATCTGAGGCTTCTGCTATTGGCAAACCTTAGACTGATTATCTGTTTGATCCTTGACCACTATGTATCCATTTCTTAATGTTAAAATGTCCTGACATTTGTATTTTGTATCGTTTATCCTTCTATGAATGTTGATTTTCTCACACATATATAAGAAGGTGAGAGTTTGAATATTCTGTAGTACTTGATGAGACTTCCAGGGCAAAAGATCTCGAATTGAAGTTGTTGGCTACAGTTTCTTTAGTGTTCATTGTGAATCAGGCAGGAGTATTAAAGGCCCTGGATTTAGGTTGTCCAGAGAAGGTCTATCCGCAAGACAGCTGAAGAGCGCGTTGACGTCCATAGTGCATGATCTAAGCTATAGTGTTTGTAAAAGTAAAAAACATTAAGAAATTCCAGGGAGAAACAGAGTCATCCTTTTTTATTTACTGCAATAAAATCAAGTACTATGGAGAAAAACAATACAGCTAAAGAACTACTAAAAGCATAGTTAAGCAGAAACAGTTCCTGGTTTTAACACATACTTCCTTGCGACTCTGAAAATACTAAACAAGGAAGCCTTGAAAAAAATACAGCACCTGATAATTCTTTCTCCAAATCCTCTGAGAAATGGAAGTAACTGTATCCCCATGACTTCTTTTATTGTCAAGCTGCTAAACGTCACCAAAAATGTTATGACAAAACCTATTCCTGCGCTCATTAAAAACCACAACCTTTCATCATCATCTTCTTCTTCTTCAAATTTCTTGAGATCTCTTTTTCTTGGTGGAGAGCAATCTGTAATCAATGGTTTCCCACAGGGTTCTGGATTTCCTTCAAAACTTAAGGATTAGTGAAGGTTCCAAATTGGTTTTTCGATGGGATAGGGCCACCAAGGTTGTTATATGACAAGTTAAGATAGCTAAATGTAGTGATTTAAGTCATGCTCAATGGGATTGAACCAAAGAGATGGTTAGATGAAAGGTCTAGTGTCTCCAATTGCTTCATGCTCCCTATGTCCTCTGGAATTCTTCCTGATAATTGATTCCAAGATAAATTCAGAGTCATCAAGGCTGACAGACCTGTAATTTCATTTGGGATTTCATCGTGAAGATTGTTGAAAGAAAGATCAATAAGATTCACTATGTCATCCTTGTTCCCTTCTTAATCAACACCATCTTGGGCGTAAAAACATAGTTGAAATAGTAGTAATTTTGGATGCAACTTGTAAAATTTGACGGACTTAAGACCTCTCAAATTTCCTTAGCAGGAAGGGATAGAACCTGTCAAATTGTTATGGGAAAGATCAAGAATTTGAAGGCCAAAAATTTGGCAAAGTTGTGGTGGAATGTGTCCACCAATCATGTTGTCTGTCATGCTAAGCTTTTGCAAAGATAATAGACTTTCTCCGAACCACTCGGGTATGATGCCACTGATTTTGTTCTCTCCAATATCAAGTGTAAGCAAGCTTTTGCAGTTGCTTAATGATTTTGGAAGTTCTCCAAAGACGTTATTACGACTCAATCTCAACCAAAAAAGTGAAGGTGGTGAACATAATGAAGGAGGAATACCACCTGAAAGATTATTCTCAGACAAATCTATGACATGAAGTTGTTGCAAATCAGCCCACCAGTCAGGTATCTTTCCAGACAAATGATTGTCTGAGAGGTCCAATCTCATTAGCTGCTTCACTCTTGTTATTGAAAATGGTATAGATCCTGTAAATGTATTTCCAGAAAGATCTATAACTTGGAGTTTTGTCATCACATGACCAATGTTTATGGGGATTGATCCTGCAAACAGGTTGTTTGCAAGATTCAAATGTGTAACATTTGGCCAAAGAGGTAACAAACCATGGAAGCTATTGGAACTTAAGTCCACCACAACACCTTCACTGTAACTAGAAATAGAAGTCCACTCTCCGGCTTTGGGATGACAGAAAATTTACCAACCTTGGAAGATTGCCACCGATCTCGTTATCTGATAGATCTAGAAACTGCAACTGTGAGCACATTGTCCAAAGCCAAGGAGGTATAGGATCTGAAATGGAGCCGTTGGAGAGAATAATAATACGAAGCTGCTTTTGAGTTTTCAGCCATGTCGGTAACTTGGAGCCCAAAGCACATTTCCTTATCTCGAAATATGTGAGGCTAAATGGAAGAATCCATTCACTGCTCAAGTTGACAGAAAACCTTTCTCCACATGATATGGCTAAAAACTTCAGTTGATGGAGTCTTGCGAAGTCATTTTGTGAAAGATTGCCTTCCCAATTATTTGTTGCAAGGAATAACTGAGTTAATTCAGTGAGATTAAATATGGTTTCAGGTAAGGCTCCCTTCAGTTGGTTTTGTCCAAAGTCCAAAATTTCCAACCTTGACAGCTGCTCAATAGATGTGGGAATCGTGCCAGATATCTGGTTAAAAGATATACTAATCATCCTTAAGTTCTTCAAATGTCCTAGTGAATTTGGAAACTGCCCTGTCAACCGGTTTCCAGCAAGGCCTAAGAACTCTAGGGTCGTGTTGCTGCAGCTAGACAACCCTTCCACTAATCTGCTTATGTCTCCGTTAAGTTTATTCTGTGTTAGATACAAATCCTGCAGATCACAGAGTTTACCCCACTCAACATTTGATATTGGGCCTTCTATGTTGTTGATTGCTATATCAAGTGTCTCAAGGGTGGTGGCATTAGACAACCATTTAGGCAACACAGAGTTAACAAAGTTATTGCGTGAAAGGTAGAGATAAGAAAGGGAAGTCATATTCCAGTTGGGAAAGGAGTAAGGGATATAGCGAAGATCACAGTTTTGCAAACTGAGAGTCACTAAAGATGGCAGCTTATTAAAAGACTGAAGCCAATGTGTTGCCGAAGAAAGGTTCACATAAGAAAGATCAAGATACTTCAAAGAGGACAAACCAGAAACCCAATGCAAATCTTTGATCCAACTACTTTCAACAGAAGCGTAAGGATAGGAGTATGCACGTAGGCTTAAATATTGTAAATTCGACAGGTTCCCAAATGAAGGAGGAATACCAATGAGAGATGAATGGGTGAGGTTAAGATATTGTAATTTTTCAAGAGAACCCAAGAAAGTGGGAGTGGCAAGTCCTTGGAAGTCATTTCACCAAGGTCTAAATACTCTAAATGTTTCAAGTCAAGTAAAGCAGGACTTATCTTGCCACCCAAGCACGTCGAAATGTCAGAAATCAGATATCCCATTTTCTTCTGATAGCAATTGCCTGATGTATCTTTGAGGTCAAGCCTGATGAAATTACCAGTTTGTACGTCACAAGAAACACCTTTCCAGATGCAGCATTCTTTGCCAATCCAAGAAGCCAAGTGGTCAGAGGGATCTGTGAGACTTAGCTCAACTCTTAATAGGCCATTCCTCTCACTCTCAATACATCTTACTTTGGCTTCAGTAGTGTTTGTGAGAGGTAGAGAAGCAGTGCTAATTGCTTCAACTGAAACAAGTAGAGGAAGGGATTGAAGAAAGAAAATAAGTACAATAACTAAAACTTTCCGACATGCCATTTTGAGATAATCTTACAAGTAAAAGAGATGGTAAGTTTAAAGTATGTTGCTTTTTAGTTGTGTAATGCCTGTTCATATAGAAAGGCAACTATAAAAAAGGACAAATGTCACTCTCAAATCTTAAGATGGAGGAAGCAGCCTACCTAGTTGGTCTTCATTACCTATTTGAGAAGGCATAAGTTTAAATTGAATACAAGTCCAACTCATTTAACTCTGTGGACTTCTCAAAAGAGAGTTGAATAGTACAAGTTTCTGCATTCAACTATGTATTTTAACTCAGAGCACTATTGTGAGATGAAAGTTTTGTAGTATTAGTTGAATCATTAAGTGCAGTAGTACAGACTTCGATTGAATTTCAACTGTATATTCTAAAACTAAACTAGAAGAACAATGATTTAATTTTTCTTTTTAAAAGGGTTACAGTAATTAGTAATGGAACTAATAAGCACTGACAGCATAAAATCTTTTGCACTGTCAGTGTAATTTAACCTATGATATTATGTTAGTTTACATTTATAAAAATAAAGGCAGCCTGGTGCACTAAGCTCTCACTATGCTTAATGTCCATCAGTGCATTGAATTAAATTCTGGTTCCGCCATATGTGCCAACACTAGCAGGAAATGGATGGTAAAGACAAGTATTATTTGTGGTCCTCTATGTACCTTAACTGAGTCAATAGCAAAGATATAGTGAGACTGATTATTCAACTCCAAGAATGAAATTTTACATTTATCTCTAGTTACATGAAAACAAGTAAGAAAGTCAGCTTACAGTAAATGCAAATTTAAGCAGCAAGAGAAATAAAAGGAAAAAAAAGACACTGATGTGAACCTTTTGGAAATAAGTGTCACCCCACTAGTCTCACAGGCAAATAAGGACCACTTGAGTGGCTACAATATTGAATCAAAATAAGTATCTATTGCCTTTTTTTGTCTTTCTCAATCATGAAGAAAGATGGAATGTTCATCTCTGTACAACAAAAAATTTGTAATTGGAACTTCAGCTTTCTTTCCAAGAACCCCTGAGAATGTTAACTACCACACTTTTCCATCAACCTGTACTTTTCCATTAAATTCTACAAAACCCTTTGCTACCCTTTCTTCTTCTTTTACAGTGAAGTGTTATGGTCAGAATTATGGGGATGAAGAACCTCTTTCTGCTTCTCTGGCATATGATGTTCTTGGTGTTGCTCCGAATTGCTCTACAGATGAGCTGAAATCTGCTTTCAGGAATAAGGTACTATTCCCTCCATCCTAATATATGTGAAATTGTTTGATTGGGAACCGAGTTTTAAGAGAGAAGAAAAAATTGTTTTTTGAAACTTCTGGTCTAAAATAAGTCATATGAATATCTGTGGCAATAAGGGTAAATGGGAGGTTTGAAGTTAAATTAGTACTAAATATAGAAATCTTGACATTCTTTTTTTTGGGGATTGATTAAAAAGAGAAAGTATCACAAAAATTGAGACAGCGGCTGTATAGAATTTGCAGTTTTGGATAAACCATTAAGAATCCATGTCGATTTTCCTGTTTTCTTTTGAACTTCTGAAAAAGTTGGACTCTCTATACTTTTTTGAGCTTGCAAGGTTCTTTATTTTTCTGGCTATGGATTTATGGAACCTCACTTACTAGTTTAAAGTTGTAAGATAGACTTCATGCAGATTGCACACTGAGTTTTTGGTATAGGTGTTCTGGGGCTAATGATCTATGAAGAAAGGAGGTGGAACTGAGGAGTCTAAAATTCCTGAGAACTCTGTTTTTTATGATTACGTTGGGAATAATCCGGCAAAATGAGGATCATTCAGTGTAGGTTCAATGGATAACGGGGATGGGATAGCTGCTTGAAAATTGCTAATCATGCTTCTTTTATTTGGTTTAATAATTGATGGAAACAGGTTAAGAAGTTTCATCCTGATGTATGGAGAGATGGGAATGGTTCGGATAAAATGATTCGCCGAGTCATTCAAGCCTATGAGGTAAATAGTCCTTATTGCTAAGGACGGCAAACAAATCAGACAATTTGGTTCATGCTTTTTGCTCAACATTCTAGTTAGCTTTGCGTTATATAAAAGGAAAATCCAAAGGATTTGTCTTTCAAGGGACAACTAATTTAATATGCAGACAGTAAGATAGAAAGCTGGAGGTAGATAATCCTTTAATACCAGTTTTTCGACGAAATGGTAGAGTGCAGAGAATTGTAGGATCTATACTTCGCTATAAGATTTGGTTCCAAACTGTTCCACAAAACCTTAAAAACAAAGTTAAGGGCCTCTAGTTTTACAGAGGAAATTCCAAAATCATAATGCCTTCTTTTAGTTGCTTAAATTTTTCGCTCAAATGATAGCTGACTCCTACTGTTTGAAATGAATGCAGAAGTTGTCCAACTTCACAAAGTCAGAGATAATTGAAAGGTAAATTGGCTATGTAAGTTTATAATCTAAATCCCAAAACATCGAATTTTCACATCCTAATCTAGTGATCATCACTGCGGCATTTCATTGTTTTTATTTTTTGGAGTAGTAGTCCTTCAGGTAGTGAATTTTTGCCATATTCACTGTTTGGGTTCTGCAGGGAATGCTTAGATCCGTTTGATCAGCCAGAAGGTGAAGCATTTGATCTCTTTGTTAATGAGACTGTTTGTATTGGAAAAGGTAACAACGCTTTTACTAGAAATTTCCATCATGATCAGCAGTTGCAAATAGAATAGAGGACGTTAGAAATAATAGTTTGCTTCTTCTGAAATCCTGCTATATCAACTTCTTATTAAAGTCCTGCATTTTATGTTTATGAAATAAATGTGGCAATGAACAAAAGTGCAATGGATGTCCATGATGTTTTTATTAGTTCAACATCTGGGACCAGTATATTAAACAGTTGTAATATCACTAAAATCAGTATTTTTTTTTGACGAAAAGGGAAATCCGCAGCCGCTACCCTTTTGGGTGCGCACAGGGTAAAACACCGCTTCTATGCAATAGCTCGCAAACCACATAGGAGAGGTAACCTGCACTAGGCAAGCCTGGTGCGACGAGCTCGACCCATAAGGCAAACCCCTTGCTTTCGTTGGCAAGGGGTTTCAAACTTGAGACCTCCAACATGGAAGTTCCAAGCTCAAACCACTGGCCACCCCGAAGGGTATCATTAAAATCAGTATTGATGCTTTGGTAATACTTTCATACTATTACTGATCAATGCAAACATACTAATGCAGCTAAGAGAGCTCTGAAGTGTAGCAAAACCTTGTTTTCCATATTAAAGGGCTCTGTTTGCCTTGTCTGAGTACTTAGTAGTAGTTTGTAAGTTGTCACGCGTTGCACAAAAGGATCTCCTGGCTAATCCTGATACTAGTAGCTTTCTAAGGTCTCCACAGATATCTAAGCTGTACTCCAACAATTTCATAATAATTTTTTTTCATTAGTGAATCCAGTGATGACCTCCTCCATCAGTTTCTGTGAAATTATCTTCCGAAAAAATGTCATAGCCTGCAAGTGATTCTTCCAGTAGACTGTCTTTATGGAAATTATCCCCTCAATTGTCAGCATGCTTTGAATAATACAAAATTTGTATAGTTGCTGATCTCCCTCTTTTACAATAAATGCAGGTTGCCCATTTTCATGCGTTAAGAAAGCACGTCATGCATTCACTTTTTCCTCGTTGACAGGAACTGCACAAGCAACTTCTCAAGGTCATATAGTAGTACTGAATACTGCAACTTCTTTGTTACTTCTGTCAGAAATTAGTCCGCTAACAGGAAAATTTTAGTGAAATTTAGTCACTGAAAAACAAGATAACCTACTTTGTTTGGCCTATTAATAGAAGGTTTTATCCTCTCTTTTTGTCTGGCTACTGAACCAAAAGGTCTATATATTCAGGACATGGTGAAGATTACCAAGTCCATCTTGCAGCTGGACAATGCCCCAGGAGTTGCATACATTATGTTACACCTTCTCAAAGAATAGTTCTTGAAGAGCTACTTGGCAGGTATCTTTACTCCTTGACGCAAATTTCATCCTGCTTTTGTAAAAGTGGAAGAAGGTAAACTTTTGAACAGGAAGAATCCCAAAAAAAAGTTCATATAAATGTTTACTCAGAATAGCACCTTAACTTATAAATCAGTTTGCTCTCCTTTTGGCTCCAAGTCGTTATGATCATATTTAACTGTTCTTTTTTGCTGCTGCTGCTGCTGTCCGTTATTTTCTAATCATTATTTTGTGAATTTTCTTCTTTGTAGCATCATGAGCACACCTTATGATACATCAGCAGAAGCAGACTTGCTTTATTCACTAATTGTAAAAGCTCGTTTTGAGAACAATCGCTACCAGAAGCCCAAGAAGCAACCTAAGGCCTCAACCGAACATGTAGACTGGTTCTAAATCTTGAAAGTCCTCATAGAAAACCACCTTGTTTTGTGTAGACTCGGAATATGAATAGAGACTGCCACTTCAAAGGCTATGCAATGCTGAAGTTTATCACATGAACGATGGGGGAAATTTGATTTGAGTTGACTGTCAACCTTATGCTATGTTATCGAAGTCCTAAATGGTCTTCACTCAGCAGCAGCATAATGAAATGCTGGGCACAAGTGTTGGGAAAAGCAGCTGCAACTGACTGTCTGAATATCTGGTAATATGAGATTGATGTAAATATTTACTTATCTTATTTTTTATGTTGGATTATGTTGTTTTACGCCCCACAAAATGATAGATTAAAACTCCATGTCTGTATGAAAATTGAAATGATACAGTTGAAGCAAATTTCATCTTTAGGAAAAAAACCATTGTTATTTACCATATCGAGGAAGTACCTCACAATTTTACAAAACAAATTATACAATCTTGAAAGTAATAGAAGCCGTAAAGGAGAAACCTCTCCTGTTGTACCAACTAAGAAGGACATCGAGAAAATATCTTCAAAGAACAAAGAATCCTTCAATCTTCAAGCAAAATCAATTTACATTCCCTGAACTGAGAATTGCTTTGATGTGGTTGAAGCTCGTGGTCGCTGTTTGAGTCCACTCATCATCATTTTCATCCCATCAATCTTCTGTACAGATTTTTTGCTCTTTAGTGGTGAAGCTAACCTACTTACCAATCTTGATGGTGAAAATGACCTCATTTTGGAGGGTGAAGAAGCTATCTTGTTTGCCAATCTTGATGGTGAAAATGACCTCATCTTGGATGGTGAAGAAGCTATCTTGTTTGCCAATCTTGATGGAGAAAATGATCTTCTCAGTTTGGCAGCTGCAGACATCTTTGGGGACCTCTTGTTCAAACTTGTTGCTCTAGTAGGAGAGACAGAAATTTGTGGAGGGCTCCTGATTTTCACTTGAAACTTTGGTGGAGACTTCGCCAAAGACTTAGTGCCCGAACTTGTTACTCTGGTAGGAGACACAGAAAGTTGTGGGGGGTTCCTGATTTTCACTTGAAACTTTGGTGGAGACTTCGCCAAAGACTTAGAGCCCAAACTTGTTACTCTGGTAGGAGACACAGAAAGTTGTGGGGGGCTCCTGATTTTCACTTGAAACTTTGAGGCTTTGGGTGGAGACTTTGTCGAGAACTTAGTACCCAAACTTGTCACTCTGGTAGGAGATGCATGAAGTTTTTGGGGGCTTCTGATTTTCATTTGAAGCTTTGGGGCCTTGGGTGGGGACTTCACCAAGAACTTATGGGGTGATTGTCGATTTCTTGCAATCACTGGAGATTGTGTTTTGGATAATTTCTGCTGCTGTGAAGTTGGTGATGAATGGAACAGTGGGTTCGGAAAAAGGACAGTCTTTTTCACCCATGGCCTATTCCTTGGTGAAACTCTATTTGCAATGTACTTGCAATTTTCTTTTTCACATTCCTTCTGTTGCACTGGAGAAACCTTGAAGTTTATTCGTGATTTTGCTCGTCGTTTTGATGGTGTATCAGACTCTGTCCTCATCGTTTGCAAGGTTACCTGTTTCTCTCTCTTTCTACGTGATCGGAGCTCAGAGTTTTCGGGGCTTGGCTTCTGATTTTGCCTCTGTATAAGTGGAGTTTTCGGGTCATCAGACCCCTTGGGACCTACTGCCTCCACTATATCTCTAGCAAATTGACTTGCCTGTTTAATTTCAGCCACTGTCTCTCCTAGAAGCATTGCTGGTAATGACATTCGCCGCCATTCCCCTGTTCCCACCAAAGCCCAAAAATCATCAACCTTTGAAACCAAGAGGGTTGGAAGAACACAAAGTCAATAATGATATAAGACAGCTAGTTACCTCCACTTGTTGGCATTTTTCCTGGAGGAGATTTACGCGAAGTAGCATTCTTGATCCTTGGAATTAGAATAGAGAATTGCGGTTATTACACAAAGATATTAAATTGTAAAAGAAAACAAAATCAGCAAGATTTAGTATGTTGTACCTCAAAGATTCTTGTTTGCATCTGAGGCTAGTTCTCAGATAACCTCTGGTGCTGCGGGGACTGAGAGTTACACCAGAAATCACCTTATGTCCACCTGTAACTGTATACTGAAGCTCTTGCAATCTAGCCATACATTTATCAACCTTCAAAAAATCACCTCAGAAGATTAGCTTAAGTTTTCAAATTTTCAACTACTTTCTATCAAAAGATCATATTTTTAAAGATCCCAAAAAGGGAATTTCAGAAATAGCAGTCAACAAACAACACGAGAGACATTTTTTGTCGGAAAGATCAAAGGAGCTTAGTATCAGAGACACCAAATTAAATTTCAGAAATTATAAATCTTGAAGTCCAAAGATAGACCCTTTATCAGTTTAACTACCAAATGAAAACTAATTTCACAGAAACTACAGAACCCGAAACTGAAATCACCTGTAGAAAAATAAAACCCTGTTGTAAGAATTAAAGTCAATAGAAAGAGAACCCAATTAACAATTACCCATCACTGATGCTTTAATAGATTATACTAATCCACTTCAGAAAACAAGTACATTAAAGAAGATCAAAAGAGGATGTAGAGAGGAGTGGGGGGGAAGGGGGATTATTTCTTGATTGTAATAATGAATCCACCAACCTTGTTTAGTGTTTCTCTAAGAAGAATGGGGTTTAGAGGAGGCACCACCATTTTCTTGTTCTGCAACTTTGGTGGGGTTCTTGCTACCATTTTCTTTCACTTTGTTAACCCAACAGTTAGAAAATCAAAGTGTGGGTCTTCTCTTCTCTACGCTCCCCAAAACTCCCTTTGTCTCCGAAGTGGGGGTCGATGTTGAGTTTCTACACGAAGCAGAGAGACAAGTATACAAGGAAAGAAGTGTCTGACTTTTGCTGCCAACGGATATTTGGCTGTAACGGTCGAATTCATATTCAACGCCCAAAATAAATCGAAACGGCTAATTTAAGAATTACAGATTTATAATAAATAAAAATATATTTGTTTCTTTTATTGATTTTGCAACTTTTGGGCGGATTACTTTATTTGAAATCTTTTTGGGCTAAATAAGGAAACTTATATAAATATACAATCATACAAAAAATATTTATCATTTATAGTAAAAATATTTTTTTTCACTTGATCACTTTTAATCTATTTATAATACAAGTTTAATACATATTACAAAGATAAATTTATTATTCAAATATAATACAAGTTTTAATGATGGATAATACATTTATCACACATTTTAATACACTTATAATACAATGTGACAGTTTTTTACCAAACAAACATAATATATTTCAAAAAAAAGTTATAATTCAAATATATCGCATACAGAATTCACTTTTAATTATATTAAAGATTTATCACAATATTGCTATAAATGATAATAAACAAAAAAATATCGCTAATTATTTTTTAAAATGTATTAATTCATGCAATTTTTCCGTATAATAAAAGCTTTTTAGTAGGCCCTTATGCTTTTATGGCGCAATCATAAAATGGAAATGTTAAAATTCACTAGTTTGATTGATTGATTTATGTAAAAGAACTTTAAACTAATAATCTCTAAAATTTTCTATCATTTTAAGAATTCCAAAAATCTCTATCCATTCTCGGATACATCCATATCCACTCTTAGATATCTCTCTCTAATATATCATTTGCAATTGCTATCCGTGAGCTACGTATCGCGTGTTTCGTGATGTATCTGAAATCCTAAAAGAAAAGAGTTCTTTTTGTTCCAGAGGATCACTTCATCGGAAACTTTATTAAATCATATATTATTATAAGTGGGAAGCATCAAAGTATAATGTGGGATTACCATTTTACCCTTTTATTAAATAAAAATATTTAATTAACAAAATATTAAATAATAATCATATCATATTGTACTTAAAATATATATTTTACATGAAATAAATACATTAAAAAGATAATTAATCATTAATAATCTTCTAAAGAAACTGTTGTCTCTTTACATTCCCCACTATGATCCTTGTCTTTTCATTTCATATATGTATTTCTTCTTGCTTTATACATTCTATTTTATTATGAGTTTGATAGAGAGCATTGGAACATTTTTCTTTTGGGTGTTGTATTGTGCATGTTATTTTAAGTTATTTTTTATTTTGTTTTTTACTTCTTACTTATAATATAGTTTATGATGTATGACTGACGTTTAAGATTTTAATCTCTGCTGAAAAAATAAAATTTGTAATTTTGTGTCAATAGCTTATGAGATGATTCTTTTTTATTATAGGGAAAATCAAGTGATGAGATGCTTCAGTGTTGATCGCATAGAATTGTACTTTGACTTGTGCCAATGGGGTAAGTCACTTTTCGTTCACTTTTTTGTTAGCATAATTCTTTGTTTGTGTTTTTTTTTTTTACTATTATTATTATTATATTGAATTTTCATATGCAGATTCATGTGAGTTATTTGTTTATAAAGCTAATTAAGTATTGAATTTTGATAATAACCCTTATAACCCAATAAAAGTAAAAAATATATTTTTGAGCTTTGGCATGTTGAGTGATGTGATGTTCATTGCTTCACTTTCTTTTTTTGAATTTAATTTTTTTGATGGAGTTTTCATTCAAAAGTAAGAAGGGAGGATAACAACTCGTAAGAAACAAAGAATGAATACAATATCATATTTTGGTTATTTTACTCATGAAATTATATTAACTTTCTTTGCTTTAATTTTAGTTGATTATTTTAGTTATTTGATCCATAGTTTATTCCTCCCTTTCTCATTCAGAATTTATATTACTCATCACTCAAATGTCATAATATTAATTTTATCATTTATTTTTCAAGTACAATTTTAACAATATCATTCCACAAAATATAAAAAAAAAAGGCTAAATTCCTTTTCTAACAAAAATATATTATAATTGCAATGAGTCATATCAAATGTAGTTTGTTTAGAAATGTAATATTGATTGTGGTAGTAGGACAAGGGTTTAATTGATGATATGAGTGTATTAAGTTTGTAATCTATGAATTAATTAACTTAATTGTTTTTAATCAAAACATAATATCTATATAAAAACTATAAAAATTTGACAGATTCATATAAAATTTTAACTCATAAACTAAAATTAAAATCAATTTAGTACTAATTCAGATTCTTCAAGATTACACTTTAGATATTGACTATCATTGATTTAAGAATATATTTATTATATATTGATGCAATTTTTAAAAATACTTATGCTCACTGGAAAGAGGTACACGCGCAACGTGCGCGTCCAAATACTAGTGGACTAATAAGAACAAATGACATATAATATGTAACAGAGGGACTATTACAAATAACTTCTTAATAATTAGATGGGTAGTTTGAATGATACACATAAAAAATAAATCAAAAAATATTATTATCT